ATGTAAGATGTTTATTTCTGCTTTCTTGAATTAACATTATGTTATAATTTCATTTCCATGGTATTATGTATGCCATATAAACTTTATTAAAAATTCGAACTTTGTTAATAATGTTCATATATGCTTATAGTAAAAATTCAATCATTCAGATGTTTATAATGTAGAAAGTGAAAGTCTGCAATGTGTTAATCACTGGTAATAGTTTTTTACATATTCTCATGCACTTTCTTTCATGTATATACTAAATATACTAAATTATTAAACAATGTCCCACTATAGACTTTGTCCTATCACCTTGTTTTTGTTTTTATCAAGTATTATTATCCCAGAAGGCTTTTTATGCCAATAATATACATCCATCTCATTCATTTTAATGATTTCATACTGCATCATTTCTATTCCAGAGTTTATTTAATCAATTATAATAAAAATGCCAAAAGGTGGTGGTTTTCTTTTTAATTAAGAGAGCTTTCATGTCTCTCATATCATTATTAAATTATTTCCTCAGTATTTTATATAATTTTCACACTGTTTTGACTGTAGTAACTTCTCTTATTGTATTTTCTAACTGGCGATTGCACATTCTCCTGCATTTCTTGCTTCTATGTCTCTTTTGCCTGTTTTTAATAATCTTCTCGACCTCCTGATATTGGAGCATCTCAGAGCCAGCTTTTTGGATCCCTTCTTTATTTACACTTACTTTCATGGTGGTCTCTTCCAGCCTCTAGAGTCCCATTGTCATACAGACTACTCCAAAAAGTATCTCCGTAGCCCATTCTTTCCTAAACTTCAGACTCATATATCCAACTGAGTGCTAGATATCTCCATTTAGATGTCTAACAGGTATCTCAAACTTAGCTTTTCTGACACGGAACTCCTAATCTGCCTCCTCAGACAAACCTCATTTGAAGCTTTGTCCATCTCACATAATGGCAACTCCTTTTTTTCCAGTTACTCAAGCCAAACACCAAACACCCTGGAATAACCTTTGATATTTACCCTTTTCTTATACTCCATACACAATCTATCAGGTTAGTATAGATTTGAACCCAAATCACATGTAAGACAGGTTATGTTTATAATTCAGAGGGAGGATTTTTTTCTCTACACAAACTTTATCCTGGACAGTCAAGTCTCCTTGTCACCTTTTGCTAATGTAGTCTTTTGAAGTTTCCAGTTTTATGCAAAGATATTAATTCCTACACTGAAAAGGTCTCATATCTTACGTTTTGGGAGGCTATTACATTCTAGGACTACATTCAGAGTATTAGCAAATGCCCGTAGGGGCAGGAATGACTTCAGTCCCTGCTTACCACTCTTACTTTAGTCTTCTCTTTCGGTCCTTGAGAAGTTCCTTAATTTTTCTAAGAGCCCAGCAGTTCGAACTGATTTCAGATTTTTTGTTTAAAGTATCTCTTTGACATATTGGGTAAAAGGTATTTCTTCTCTCTCAATGCATGTCACAGGGACTTTTATGAGTTAATAGTAGTTGCCTGGTAATAGTGATTATCATTCAAATTTAGCAGATGACTTACTGAAACAATTGAGCCTTCCTTATAAACTTTCTGTGCTGACATGCTTGATAAGCCTACAGACATGAGTTAGGCCAGAATTCACTGAGCTTCCCACGGTTTATAAAGCTATTTATAGATTTCTTGTCTACATATGAATACTGTTATATCTGGAAAATGTTTTCATTAGGTCTCAGAAGGCCTCATGAAAAACAGGAACTGCTGCAGGGAATAAGGAAAGAATTAAACAAACAAAAAAATCCGTTTCAGCATATGCTCAATCTAGGTCTCTAAAGAAATGAGCACTAGATGGCAGCAAATCAATATATATTATTATGGGTGCCTAACCGATCCCAGTTTAAAGGTATGTAAGGCCTTATTGTTAAATCTTATGCACCCATTTGTTATCCAAACCATTTACTGATGTTTAATCTACTAGTTGATGAGATGCATTAAATGCTAAGGCTGAAAATAGTTTCTAGACTAATAAATATAATACAGTATGGTGCCTGTACCATCGGAGTTTGTCCAGCAACACTTAGAAGAATCTAGAGCCCTTTTCTGTCACTGAAGACCACTCTCTAGATAGCTCATCTTTCATCAATGACGAGAAGTCCTCCTATTGAACAAAAGCCACATTTCCAACACTCTTCCCTATTTCTGAGTTGTAAGGCCTTTTGTGGTTGCTAATGCTTAAATTTTCATCTTATTGTTCAAATGGTACGTATTTGCTAAATTGAGAATTAGATTCATCTCTCTCATGAAGTGTGAAAATAGTGGGTTCCCAAATCCTGCTGTGAGTAACTACCAGACCTTCTTCTCTGAGGGGCTCAGGACTGATATCTCTACCACAAGTGAGAAGGGACTTTCCTTGTTTTCGCATTTAAGATCATCTTTGTATCGAAAATTTTTATAATTAGTATTTAAAATATTTAAATTCATAATTTTTGTGTATAATTTACTTTCATGATCCCATTTTTTCTCCACTAACCTGAGACAATTATAATTTTTATGTATTTTAAAATGTTTAGAATAAATTATTTCTAAAACAAGGCATTAATAGTACAGAAAGACTTAAAAAGGGAAAATGACAAATCCCAGGTTCACTGCTTCCTTCTCAAAGTGCTGCTCTTGAGAGCAATCTCCTTTAAACAGTTTCTGCTTTTGTTTCTTCTGGTGATTACCTCTGTTAAAGAGAGAACCACAGGCCCCAAATGGTGTCACTTGTGCTAAAAGCTGATGATACCAAACCTAGATTTAATATCTGACCGTATTGCTGTTTCAACCTACCCTAGAAAGATAATCTTAATCAACCAGTCTGGAATTTTCCAGTCAAGCACCAATAGGGTAATCTGTCACTTGAGCCCTCTTCTTCCCTCATAGAAAAAAGAGGGAATCTGTATAATGAAAACCCTTGCCTCCCCCAAACCCCCACAAAAAAGATTTTGTCCTGATCTAAAAATAATCCTTTCTTTTCTTTGGTAATAGCTCCCTTGCCCCTCCTTTCTTCCTACAAAACCTTCCATTTTATACAACCCCTCAGGGTGCCTTTCTACTTGCTTGATGGGATGCTGCTAGGTTCATGAATCACCTTATATAGGCAATTAGATCTTCAAATTTACTAAGTTGAATTTTGTTTTTAAACATTTCTCTACCTATCACTATTTCTTAATCCATCAGTTTTAAATATTGCCTTAATCTACTGCTAAGAGAGACAATGTAACTCATTTGCATCACCTTCTACCTTGCTTATCCATCATTTCCAATAAAGTCATGTAAGGAGGCAATAGCATATAATGAATAAGAGCGCACACCCTGGAATCCCGCTTCCTAGTTTGCTAGCTGTGTGACCTTAGACAAGTTACTCAATCCCTCTGAAACGTTTTCCTCATCTGTGAAATGGGGATAATAATAGTCCCTTCCCTAGAAGATTATGATGAGAATAAATGGGTCAATATATTTAAAGCATTATACAAGCATTACATTTGCTATACTTAATTCCTTTTTTGGTTATCTTTGTAAGTTTAAATAACATATTTACCCTTTTATTTCTGATCAACTATGTATCACGTCTCTTGTCATCCCATCTTTTAAAATGAAGATCCCCTCTTTCCACACCTCAATTTTACCTCCTATATTTTCCATCTCTTGACTGGTTGTTCCATTTTCTGAGAGATTTTCGAGATTTTCTCAACTTTATTTTCTAACCAGCCATTGAAATTTTTGCTTTAACAATCTGAATTTTACCTGATCTCTAACGTTTCTTTTTTATAGGATTTTAAAGATTCAAAACTTTATTGACTGTTGTGTTATTCAGGGTCCAGTCAGGGACAAAAAAAATCGTCACACCAGTAATTTGAATAGAGAAAATAATTTTGAACTAAATAAATTGTAAACTAAGTAAAAGATGTTATTAGCTACTAAAAGGAGTAAAAGAGAACTCAAGGGAATAGAGAGGTAGTTACCACTTCCGAGGTCGAGGGGAAAGTGAATATGCAAGGAAGGAACTTGGAATCTCCCAGGAAAGAGGCCCAGCAGGAGAGATTGAGAGGCCGGAGTGGCCATGGTTGCCGCAGGAGCACACAGCCCTGCGGCTTAGGTGACTACTAGCAGGCCTCCTGCTGGACCAGAAGAGAAAAACTCTATCAGAACAAAGAGTGCCTCCTCTCCTTCCTACCTTGCAGTGCCCCTCTGTCCTCTTACCAGCAGAGTCTATATCTAGCCAGTGAGCAAAGCTGACAGCAGAGTCCACTTTCAGTATCACAAGCAGGGGAAAAAGGGATGAATTTGGAGCTGAGAGGCAATGAATTAATAACCGGCGTAACTATCTCTAAGTCTACTCAATAAATAGCCTACTTTCCTCTTTTTGGTGCTTTCTTATTCCTTGAATTATTTTGACTTTCCCTGTGGAAGTCCCCCCTCCCCGCTTCCTATCCTTCACCCCTGTTTATCTTCGGCATCTCTTTAATTCTAAAGCTTTTTAAAAATGTCTGGAGTTCCTCCCTTATTTGTTATTTGTTAAAAGTAAGGAAATGAAAAGTTGATTGAGGGCTCTACGGTTGTGGCCTGGGCTTTGCCAACTGATCAACCTTGCTTTTAGGGTGTTTGGCTGGGGAACAGCCACACTGTCTGCCCTGCTTCTCTAAACAGTGCCATTTCTATAGAGAAAAATCTTCCAATTCTTTTTTGCTAGATTGGCAAATACTTGGATGCTGGGGGTAAGAAGGACGATTATAACTTACACTCGCTTTCAATTCATGTGCCCATTTTTAACTTCACATTCCATTCTCTTCTTCCAATTGCTATTTTCTGAGCTTCTCTGTATTTCTGCAAGACTATTTTCCCCAGATTCTTTAGAAACCACTTGCATTAATTTCTTGTGGCTTCCTTAACAAACAAATTAACACAAACTTAGTAACTTAAAACAACAGACATTTATTCTTTCTGGAGAAAGAATATAGTTCTGGAGGCCAGAAGTCCAAAATCAAGGTGTTGGGCGAAGGCTCTGAGGAGAATATGGCCCTTGCCTTGTCCAGGTTCTGGTGGCTGCTGGCATTCCTTGGCTTGTAGCCACATCACTCCAATCTCTGCCTCTGTCTTCACAGGGTCTTCTCTCCCGTGTCATCGTCCTTTGCCTCACTCTTATAAGGATGCTTGTCTTTGGATGTAGGTAGGACCTGCCCAGAAAATCTAGAATGATGTCTTTATCACAAGATTCTTAACTTAATCACATCTGCAGACTTTTCCCACATAAGGTAACATTTACAGGTTCTTAGGATTAGGACGTGGACGTATCTTTTTGGGGACCACCATTCAACTCACTACACCAGTCTTCTAATTGCTATTCTCTTTAAGAGTTTTGATTACATTATCTGCTAATGGTCTACTTTCTGTCTTCTCTATTAATTTTGTATGTATAGCCATATGTATAGTATATATTATGTGTATGGGGGCATTTTTTAATAACAATTTCTGGATTATTAGGAAGAAGAGATAAATGTGCATGGTCAGTCCACAATCTTGACTTTCTCATAAATAATTTTTACTAGGTAGTCCCTGAATAAAATCGAATTAAGCTAAATTCTGGGAAAGTCCAAAACAAATAAGCCAAGTTATATAAGAGTTAAAGCAATAGTTTCCCCCTCTCCCTCTCTCTCTCCATGTCCCAGTGAAGGCTGTTACACTTTCCTCAGGAAATGCAGGGTTAATCTCTTCAGACAGAGGCGGAGAGGCCTCATCCTTTGGGGGTGCAAAAGCTGCTTTCACTGGCAAAGAAGAGTCATCAGAATTTAGGGCTCAATGTCTCCAGCGTCATCAGAGTCTTCCTACATATCCCTATTCCAACTTTCAGCAGCCCATTTCTTCCCAATCTGTGCCTTTACTTTAACAGTAGATGCCCTTTGAAGCTAGAAGCTAAACTTGCATTATAATTCAGCCAGTCGCAGATGAGATTCTGCATTTGATTTTTGGCAATTTTAGCCCTGTGGCTTAAGGAGACACATAGAAGCTTTTAGGTCCTTTGTGTGACACTTAATATTTGGTTAACACATTCTTTAATTTGACAAATATTTATCAAATGCTAACTAAGTACCTCCTAGGCACATGGTATACTTCAGTGAACAAAAAGACAAAATTCCTTTTTGTGGAGCTGCCATTGTAGTGTATAAGCGAATGGTCAATTTCAATATAGTTTTGGGTTTATTTAAGTTTATTTCAAAATAAAAAAATTAGTGCCTCAAGTTGACAGCTCTTGCATAGCCATGCCCAATAAGCAGATACTACATGACATCAACTTATAGACACAGCATTGGCATGCTACTCAAATGAGACTCAATCTTGGCAGGATATCAGAAGTTCCAATCCTATCAACAATGTCTGGAATTCATCTATTGCCCTAAGCCTGCTGTTGAGTGAGCCGGTGTAAACATCTATGTGGTCACCAATACTAAGTTCCTTGGTCCTGACCCCAACCCTACTGGGTACCTAGACTCTTGCCTCTGCTCTGTATTTGCACTTCATTCTCTGCTGGTAATGAATTTCAGCACTGAACCTCAGCCAAATTTTCTGGGCCAAGGAAGCTCACTAGGTTTGCCAGCCCCTTCTCTCTGGGAGATCTGGACCCTATCCCGATGTTCCCCGCTCTGTAGCCCACTTGCTAATAACTTCTTACAACCCAGACAACCCCTCCCACTCCAAACATAAAACTGTCATCCATGGGATAATAATTCCCACATACCCAATTTCTGGTGCCATGCTCCCATCGGGCATATTTGAGATGATGGCTATGAACATTAAGCTTGACTGGACTCGAGTTTGGTGTGTTTCTTTAGAAACTGAAATTGAGTGGACCTCTATCCATCAGACTTACCCTGCCTTCGCTGATCTCAGCTTACTTCCCTCTCTCCTGCAGGTCTACAGTTGGTGGTGGTTGTCTTCTGGATCTGCTGCCAATCAGATCATAATGCAAAAGAGAAGACTTCTCAGCATTCTGTAGAGTCTGCTTTTCTAAACATTTTTTTAGATTTTAATGCATCTTAATTATAGTTATAAGTAACCTTTTATTCTTTCTGTAGCACATTAGGCCTCCTGCAAAATAATCAATTTCAAAAAAAAATTGTCTGAGATTCAGGTATTGTATCAAATGCTTATACTTTTTTGAAAGCAATATGATCCTAATCCAACACATCATGCAGAGTACAGATAAGTGTTTCTTCTAACTTCAACAGTGATAAATATTTATTAAGCCTCTTCTATGTTCATGGCACCAAACCAGGTGCTGCTATAACTATTTTTCCTTTCCAGGAAAAATAAATCAAAATATGAAATAAGAAGCCCAAACTCAAAACCGGACTGACTTTGCTTCTTAAAAATTCAATATGCTACAGCTGTGTGCTTAAACCTGATTCAAACAGGATGATAAAATAAAACATTATTATTGAGAATATAATACTGTCTGAATAAATAGCCAAAGTGAAAACTGTCTCTAAAAACCATAGCATATGTATGTGAAGACTGTAATTAAGTTACATATTCCTCTGCTATTCTGTGACATGGTCAATTCTGAGTGTCTTACTATCACTCTTGAACACTTTTAAAGATGCTCACTCTTCATACTCTTCCTTTGAAAGAATATGCGAACCTTATATGCAATAAAAATATCAGAATATTTTACTTTTTATGATGTACCATTTCTGTCAAATGATATCTGGAATAAATCAGCTTTGACTTTTCAGGTCAAAAATGTTGTTTCAGAGTTTTAGCAGTTCTAATACATATTTACATTTTCAATACACTTTCTATGATGAAGATAAATGCAGAGATAAATTTTTTTGTGTGTATATGATAAAAACCAGGACAATTGTTTCACTTTCAAACTTCTCTTAGAAGGCTTCTAATGTTGAATTTTAATTAAATACTTGAACAATTAGGAATTTTTTTTCAAACATTTATTAGTAGAAAACAGATTGAAATCTGAGATGTACAAGGTAAGTCTAATGATTTTACACATCTGTGTGATGATATTGGAAGTAGAAATATCAGTATTTTGATTTTATACTTCAAATGTTACATCCGTGAACATAAAAAACCTACTTGATTATAACTTTTCAGGAAAAAATCTTGCTCAAGTATTAATAAGTAATCCAAGTTTTAAATAATTCTGGCATTATTCCAACATATTTCCTACACTATTTTTCTCTATAAGACATCTGACCCAGACATTTATGGTTAAAGACAATATTTTATAAAGTATAGTTATCTTGTGTAGAAAGGCATTTGGTTTTGAATAGTGTCAGAAGCAAGTAAATGGCAAATAGTATTACACAATAGACTCCGCAGATTAGGGAGCTGAATTCTAAGGTTAAAGGTAACTTCCACATATTAGCAGAGCTTTCCTAGTTTCATTAACAATTCTCTATTTCTAATAAAAGCCCTGCTTTCTTCGTAATTCAGCAGATGAGAAGTTAGTTGAGAAAGCTGTTCATTCCTATATAATCTCTTTTTGTTCAATAATAAATTTTTTGTTTATTGAGTCAATAACATGAAGTTCAGATGCAGGTTACTCTTTGTCCAATTACATAAGACTGGGTTCTAATTATCAGAGGTAATACCAGCAAACATATATTTTTTAACTTTATAGAAAACAAACTTCATAGGAGTTAATTAAATCAATCCTTTAGTAGGAATTGGAAGCACTAACAATTGGCATTTAGTGAGTCATTGCTATATGTTTGGTATTTTACTAACCATATTATAAACTTTATTTCATTTAATTCTTACTAGAGCCTATGAAGTATGTGCTATTATTATTCTTATTTTAATGTTGATGAACCTCACTCTGCAAGGACAAGTAGTGTGCCTGAGAACAAACAGCTACCAGTTTGGAAATTGGGGATCTGATTCGGGTAATTTCACTCAATTTCTTCTATCTCAGTAGCATTTCGCTTGTGTCTCTCTTACATAAATAAGTATGTCTTATTTATCTTCCTTGTCAACTTGTAAGCTCATTGAAGGGGAAGACCAGCTTTTATTAGATTTTTATGTGCATCGATTGCCTAGGGCATGGAATGTTTGGTAGAAGGAACATCAATAAAAATGTAGTAGTGATGCTATAATATATAGTAATAGTGAATTTTTACTTTTAAATAGGATAACCAATGTGATTAATTCACTTGTTTTCTAATGTCTTTTAAAAGACTAATATATTAGGTTGATTCTATTATTATTGATTTGATCACATAAAGTCATTTGATATTCATTTACTGTTAAACTTATTTGACATAAATAAAATGGCCTATAAATTCCTTGATCTATTTTGCTGCTAAGGAGTTACAAACATTTGTTCAACAAATATTTATTAAGCATCTACTTTGTGCCAAGCACTATTGCAGCAGCTGGAAATACAGTGGTAAACAAGAAAGACAAGGTCTCCATTCTTACGAAGCCTGAATTCTAATGACTGGGGGTGGGAGTAGGGTTGGGGGCAAAGTAGGAAACACATCAGTTAATGTCAGTCTGCCGTAATTATCTATGTGATGCTTCTACCGCAGTACTCAGCACACGGTAGGGATTGGATATGTATTGCATATCTGCTTCATGGTGGGACTGTTAGTGCCTCATAATTTTAAACTTAAGTGAAAAACATGGTAAACCAAAGATCTAAGTTTATGCAGAAAAGCAGTAGTGTTAAGGATGTGGTTCACACGTCCTGACTTTTAACTCAGAGATATGCCTTTCTAAAGGACAATTAACTTATGTAAAGCACTTATTTATTTTACTATTAAATCTTTTTGCATTACATTATATGATCGGTGTTAGTTTTAAATAAGCACTCTATTCATTTCACTAATGCATATTAGTAAATATGCATTGTTAGAGATATTTTTATATCTTGTATTAAACTTGAGTTCCCCCAAAACTTTTATATGAAGATTGCAGCGTCATATTCAATACCAAATAAATTGCAAACTACTTATATAACCATAAAGCAAAGATTAATAAATGATGTTATATCAACATGATAAAGTTATTAGTCTCTACAGTGAGATTTGTGAAGACTGCAGAAAATATGGAAATAGAAATTAAGTATTGATATCTACTCTAGAATTATGACTATGTAAAAGTAAAATAGTTTTGGATAAAAGCTGAAAGATAATATACAAGTTGAAGATAATTATGTTTGAGTGGTGGAATCTGATTATTTTTTAATTTTGAAAGTTTATATCATTAAAAATTAAAACTATTTTAAATACTTTATGAGTATCAGTATTAGGATAGTAAAAAAATTATACTTATGTAAACCAGGATAAATGCTCTAAGCAAAGGAAAAGCAATTACTAAATTCTCAAATTATTCTTCTTACATCTTAATTCTAAAACCTAGCCATAAATTATTAACAGACCCTGACTTCCATGGATGAAATAAAGGTTTTTTTTTTAAGTAGAAAATGTTATTTTATGTATAGTTTTTAATGGCTTGCGATCAAGGCAAAATCTCTTAAATAAATGATCGACTTTAGGATCAAGTATAAGCAAAGGAAAACTTGTTAACATCTGGACAACGATATTAGATAACCTGATTCTTAGCCTTGCAATATGTATTTAACGGCTTTATTTCTATTTACGTATCTTCTAAAATGCTCAGATTTCATATTTCAACTGAATACACTGAGAGTCATGAGACTGATCCCATGACTGAATTTTAAGGAGAAAAAAAAAAAAAAAAACAAAGAGAAACGAGTTAACCTTTTGAACTTTACGGCTATTTTAGATTTCTCAATCGAGGATTTACGGACAAATCTGATTCATAAGGAAACATTCTTAAGAGGAAGTTTCGAAAAGTGATATTCCAGAGTATATGGAAAATAGAGATATTCTGATGAAATGCCACTGATAAAAGAACAAGTGACTATGCTTAAACCATCACAACCCTAGATCTTATTGCTTGATGTTTTAATTAGATTCACTTTCAATTATTTTGCTTATCATTCAACAGCAAGGTATGGCACTATATATTTTTGGTGATATTCAAATATTCTTCTAAGTATAAGACAATGACTTTATTTCCTCTACCAGTTGTCACTCTTGAGGTGTCCAGAATCATCAAACACCAATTGTCATATCTTTAATACAGAAGGAATTCTGGCTTACTTTAATAGATGTTACACCAGGTGACCTAATCAGTATTATCCAACTCTAATTTTAATAAAACACAAAAATTTATTTTTGCTTCTGACAATAGTCTCTATGAATGAAGTAATTTGTCATATAAGTAATGAAGAGTAGTAAAAGAACCAAAATGTACTAAAAGGAATGTAATATGCATATTTCATCATAATGTTAAAGAACTAAACAGAAAGTTATTTTTCCTACTCATTATTTTCTGATTTTATTTTTTTTAGCAAGGTTACTTATTCTCCTGTCTACTCTTTCTGCGGATACAAATGCTTTTAGTTGAAAAATTCTTACCAATCAATATGCATTTTTTTATTGAAATTTCCCCCAAATTGACCAATTTAGACAAATTTCTCTCAATGCAAATCTAGTTAAAATATTTTTATATAAAGTCATTCATGCATACTGGTCAATATGTACCATGCATTTCTGTATAGCTTTTACTAGGCACCAAGTGACAACATACAAATCTATACAAATGATGCAGAATATATAGAATAGGACTACAAAATAACAATAATGCTTCCTTGCCTGCCTTGGAGTTATATGATATTAAAATCTCTAACATACGAAAAACAACAACAAAATTAATAACAAGAATCCGAAAAATAAACTCAGGAGAAAAGCAGAATTTTGAAATTTTGAAAACAGATTTCTTTATTAACAGTAATTTGTTTTTTAACTTGGCTACCTCCATAAAGGTAACAAATAGGTTAAAGTTTTCATGAAACAGTCTGTTCATTAACACCGCAATCGGAAATATGCAGAAAAAACAAATTTGACTCATTCTTCAAATTTCACATGTGTATGACATGTTTGCTAATCATAAAAGACAAAAGAATTACCATAGCGATTATTCTACTGACTGGAACATTGGATCATGAAGCCTAGAATCCTGTCCGTCTCTGTGATACCAAAGAACAGTTTGTTGATGAATAAATTTGTTCTTCTTCCCATCAACCATAAATATATTAGGAATCTACTCAGAAGATGCCCTAATTTATTTTATTACTCATTATAGACTCAATGATATTAATGTTAACTATTAAGTATAAAGATGATTCCTTTTGTTAATTTTTTCCGTGAATTCATAGCTTTGATTTATCCATAATCTCTTCCCAAACTTTCTTGTGATTGTATCAAATAATTGATGGGTAGATGGAAGGTTCTTTCCTAGCTTATGGATAGAAGATTCTAGGATGTCTTAATATATTTAATACTTTATTTACATCATTCTTGATGTGTGTTTACATATAAAAAAGCTCTCTTAAACATGTAAGCTGATGCAATTATTAACACTTTATTGATAATTTTATATCTGCTCAGACATTTCTAGGTTTTAACAGGCCCATTAGGTCTCAGCAGGCTCGTCAGTATACTAGACCTACAAAGAAAATGTCTCAGATTCCATTCTAGAACTGTTTTGTTATGGACTACTAATAAATTATCCCACAAGAGGTCGCCGGAGCTCCAGCTTTCTGGAGTGTGAATTTTCTGGCTTTTTGTTCTTCCTGCAAAAGAATTAAAAACGATTTTGTTTCCTGATTATCTGCATACCCAGTAAGCAGATCTGCCAGTCTGCTTCAGCTAGACATGAAGATAAGTAACTGAGAAGCAGAGGTGAGTTAGGGTCAAGGCAACTTATGGAAGTTTGTAGTCATCCATTATATGGCTATCCATCGCACAGATATCCATCGCATGGACTTAATCAAAGAATGGGAAATACAAGCAGACAGCTTCTGACCTAAGTAACTAAACTCCTTTAGACAGAAATTAGATATTTTAAAGGCACATTAACACTTTTTAGGACCTGGGTTGACATTCCAAATTCTTACACATACCAGAACCATAGAACAGAGTCTAAAAGAGGCCTTTACTCAATAAATATCTGCTTGGGGAAGACCGAATAAAGAAATACTAAAAGCACTCTTAGTGATGGAAAATTGTTGCTAGATATAACCACTTTTAGACTCAGTCAGAGTCCTGTAAAGAATTTGGTTTAAAAGCGTTCTTTAAGGAGCAACTTCTATTTTATTTACAATAAATATGAATATTAAAAGAAAGAATTTTAAAAGTATGTTTTAGAAAAAAGATAGCTTAAGATTTGAGGACATTTGCCACACCGTTAGAAGAATTCCTTCCCACCCTTACAAGCATATTACCCTACTGTAAAAATAGAATCTTTCTTTGATTTCTCCATTCCCCAAATTTTAGAAAAAATAATGTTCCTTTTAGTACCCTTGAGTGGTAACATTATTGGCTATGTATCTCCCTAGCCAGGGTCATTGGTTGCATTTATCATATAGGGGCAGAGGATGCCAGCAGAACCTTCTCTAATAATCTTTTCATTTTCCTTCTCTAAATGGAGAATATTTAACTTAAAATATTGTGATTTTTAAACATATATTAAAGGTGTTATTGTTGTGAATCAAGTGTTTGAATACTTTCTTGTATTCATATAAAGAGTGTTAAAATTATAAAGAATATTAGAATTATAAGGATGAAAAGACAAGAATGAAAAGACCTGTAAAGATCTCAACCCTATGGACATAAAAGGATTTCATCAAGATGATTTCTAAGGTCCTTTCCAGCCTGAAAATGTAATGACTCTGCTTAAATTCTCATTCTTTGGACTATAAAACATTCATTTCTATATCAATGACATTACTTTAGGTGGAGGGCTTTTCTTCTTTGATTATCTGTCTAGTTATGCACCATGGTTTGGGAGTTAAAAATCAGATCATGAATATCTAATTTTCAAAAGTACCCAGATTTTGCATGATTTCCTCAGCATTATTTAATGCATAGTTTTAACTTCTCTGTTAACGAACACACTGTTTCATGAAACGCTTTTGCAATATGCCAAATATAATTTTCTCTCATTTCCTTTTTGGAGGTGGGAAATTCATATATTTATATCGGAGATGCCCACGAACTAAAAGACCCAAGCAAATAATAATACGGGGACACTGAATTTCTATTCGACTTGAGCTATCAGCTGAAAAAGGAGAAATGAAACACAGGTCAGCCAGGATGGGAGTGAAGGAGCGAACCAGTCATAATGTTTGAAAAGGCAAATTACAGGACCAGAATCTTAGAGAATTACACACTCAGTAAGCCTTTTTCATACCACCACCATCTACTCCACCACCCTGGGCTAGTGTTAGCTGACAAGGCACTTGGTTGTCCCCAGTTTACTCACAGTAAGCCCTGGGTTGGCACAGCCAGAGAACATTTCAACTGTGTGTTAAAAACAAGAGTGAGTCACCGACTCCTAGACCGACCAAAACGATATTGTCAGGAGAGTATCAGGACCGCATCAGCGCCTCATGCACTTACCTCACGCCTGCCACCGAGGTCTGTGCTTTCCTGAGGCTTTCCTGGTCCTTGTATTCAAGTAGCTCACAGTCCAATCAGAGAAAAGAGGCAAAAACACAGACCACGACAATATTTCATCAATACTAAGGCCCGTTTCTTTGCAGTTTTACATCTCTGAAGTCAGGCTGTATGTTACAAATGCTATTGTCTAGGCAGCAGTCGTAAGTGGTCTTGGTTTGTGTGAATGCAAACTTGATCACAGCTGTTCATATTGCCTTTCTTGCTTTGATATGTACATTGTTGATACTGCATGTATTGAGGTAATTGCCATTTAAAATGCCTTTAAAATTTACACTATAATTCAGCCTTAGAATGAAACGTTATCGTGCACGCAGGAAGGCTAGAAAGAAAGAGGGCAGTGGGATGTCTGTTTGCCATCAGTGAGGTTAATATTTATCGTTGGAGGGTTGACCCCCACTTCTATTTTTTTCTAATTAATAAAATGCTTAATGGGTCCTAGGAAAGAAAAATACCGATAAGTTGAATAAGTCATGTAAGGCGTTGTGGCAGATATATGCAAAGGATTGGCTCTCACCTTGCTATCACCATGTGTGGTCTCTGGACCAAGAGCATCAGCTTCAACTGGGAACTTGTTAGAAATGCAGAATCTCAGGCTGGATTCCAGACTTACAAAATCAGAACATGCATTTTAAGAATATCCCTGAGTGATTCAAATGCTCATTAAATTCTGCAGAATCTCAGGCTGGATTCCAGACTTACAAAATCAGAACATGCATTTTAAGAATATCCCTGAGTGATTCAAATGCACATTAAATTCTGAGAAATACCAATATCACATGCCAAGCAATTCAACAAAAGGCAGGAGAAACTGCCTAATTTCTTTGAAGAGATGAAAGGCATTTCAAAACAACAAACAGTTGATGTGACCAATTCATTCATCATGCAGAACTATTATTTGGGTGTCAATCACCAATATCAGAAACTTCCTACTGAGTTTGAAGATCAGTTGCTTAACTTTCTGTGACACGTGATTCAAATGAAGAAAAATTGAGACCGTTAGTTGGTTAAATAAGAAATGCTAGCAAAACTTTGATATATCTCAAATGTTAGCAAAATTTTGATATATCTCAAAATTGCACTAAAAGAATTCTTTCAAAATGTATGAAATGGAAATTCTGTTACAAGAAAGCATTGCTATAATTTTATTGACAGATTTTTTGTTCCTTACCTTTCCATAAAAATAATAGTATATTTCATAATTGATGGTGTCTCAGACTTGACGTAAACCAGTATCACATAGTGTGCTAAATTCTACAATAGCAAAAGGCAGGAGTGCTGTAGAGCAAATAGATGTCCATTTCTTGTAATCAGGGAAGGTTTATTGCCTTGAGCAAAAGCTAATCAGGCGAAGAAGGGAATGAAGTGTGATTTAGAGAGGGGAGCACTCCAAGGAGGAGGGATTTCAAAGGCAAAGGCAACAAGGCTGCTTGTCAAGAGAGAGAAACTGAACCAATTTTTTCCCTTGGGGGGTTGGAGCAGGCAGGGGATGCTGGGTTAATGGTTTTGCCTTAGCTGCAGTGCTGCAGAGCGAAGGCAAATAAAAGAGTTTCCATTCCTCCAAGCCAGCTTTGGTGATAGCTTCCATTCCCAAAGGGAGAATTGATCTTGCCTGGGACTAGTTTTCTGCTGCATTAGGTTCAGGGACAAAGGTTGCTCTATCCTCGAATTTTCCTGAATGAGTTTACACCCTCCTTAAGAAACAGGAACATTAGTTTTGATAGCTAAGGGTGAGGTTCTAAACCTTGTCTGTACATTATAATCACCCCAAGTGGTGCCTGAACCCCATTCACAGAAATTCTAAGTTAACTGTCTGGGGAGAAGCAGGAGTGTTAGTATTTATTTTATCCTCTCCCTCCATGATACTACTGTGCAGCTTATTTTAAAAACATGGTTTTAGGGTCAGAATGAGTTAGAGTAGATGAGCAGCTGGTCAGCAGTAACTATGAACTTCAGCACCCATAAGGTCACAGAGGAAGTGAGCATTATTCAAATCTTTGCCCTGTTTAAGTGAAGGCAGTTATTTGGGCAGATAATGTTGGGAAAATGGGGAATGACTTCCTGCCATTATCTCTGAGCTCCAGGATTCACCAAACATCTTTGATAATCTTGGAATCCTTTTATTCTAGAATAAGAGATCTCTTTTCTGGCATCATATGAGGGTTTGGAGTATAAAAACTTCACATTCAGGCTCTCAGATACGCAATTCTCAGGGCAGCCCCAAGGTGGGGCAAAAGGCAGGAGTGTGTCTTGGCCAGCTGGGTAGAGGCCCTGGTTCTATCTTTCACAGAATATGGGGCTTTTGCAAGAAGAAAAGAGCCTAAACATGGTGTCTGTGTATTTGAGCAAAGCCTTTAAGTTCAAAGAGGGCATATGCATGCTGGGTAAAAAAGTTGACACTCACTCATAATGAAAGTATGGTGGTGAGATCTCTGCTACCTCTTGGCACAAACGATTCCTATTGGTTAGCCTTGCACAATCCCAGCAGTGAGAGAGACAGCTGAGTGAGGGACTTGAGCAAACATACACAATGCTGGCAGTAGACATTTGAGCTAACGTGTAGGGTGGACATATTCTAGAATGAAAGAAAATGGGTTTGCAGAGGCTGAGGGTAATATAAGCAATAGATCATAGGCAACACTGTTCTTCAAATCCTGTGTCCAGTGCTAGGCGGTGTCAGCTGTGGCTCCCATGATAATGTCTGCTCACACAGGCGTCAGCTTGGGGCAGTGGATATGTGGGTAACTGTACTTGCATTTGTTCTGCAAAGCTATGTGATGCCTTAGTGTATGATTGGCTATACTTGGAGGTTTGTTGTTTTGAAGACAGATTTGTAGTTCAACTAGTAAAATGTTCTTTGCTTAAGAGTTCAGGCTGAGACACCTAGATTATTTAAAAGTCTCCTAACTGGGTTTTCTGCCTCCAACCTTTGCTTCCCCAAAAAACTCTATTCTTGAGACAATACTTAAAATGATCACTTAAGAGAGTGTGTCAAATCATGCCTTCTCTACTCAAAATCCTTCTATGATACTTCTTTTTAAAACGAAAATTAAAGTTGGTACCATGGCCTCTAAGGCCCTTTGTGATTTGTGCCCCTTCCCCTAATACTTTTCTGATCTTATCCTCTGTTATTTGTTCGCTCCCTCACTTTGCTCCAGCTAACCGCGCCTCCTTAAATATCAGTCATATTCTTGCCCCAGGATCTTTGCACATGCTCACGGTCTCTTGTGTTAAAATACTCTTCCCTCAGATGTTTACAGAGCTCACTTCTTCTCCTACAAATCTTTGCTTAAATGTCCTCTTTGCAGTAAGGCTTTCTTCCTTAACTACTTATTTAAAATGATATCCAACATACTATTCCTATTGGGGTAATGACTTCATCAGTTATATAAAGGTCTAATTACTATGCTGTACACCTGAAACTGATGTAATATTGTATGTCAACTGTAACTGAAAAATAAATTTTAAAAAACGAAATAAATAAAATGACACCTAATACTTCCTAACTCCTTTCTCTTCTTTATTTTTCTGGGGTTTTTTTTCCCCCCCATTTACTTTTAATTAATTAATAAGCTCCATGACAGCAGGGTATTTTTCCATCTTTTGTTATCTTCTGTATCCGCAAAGCCTAGAACAATGGGTGATATTCAATAAATAAAAGAATATGTGGCGTATCCCCAAACCATATAGTTACTTGGTGTCAGTAACCCTGGGACAGAGCATTGATCAAGCAGTCCACACTCAGAATGTGCAGAGATGTCTTGACTGGGGACTCGTGTGCTTTGCTGATGCCACAGAAAACTGACAGTTATAGGGGCTCTGCCCCCTGGACAACTCCAGTGGTGGGTGGTGGGGGGTTAGAAGCAGCAATGAGATGCTGGAGGTGGGCCATTCATTATGCTTTTAGCTTCAGGATGAGATCTGTGAGTTTACTGGCCTATAACCCATCCAACCCTCATGGCCTAAAATCATGAAGCATCACAGTAATAGGGTGAACACTTACTGAATTCGTGGCTCAGTACTCATTACCCTAATTGGCTTCGAGGGACTATCTTCTCTCTCACTCTCAGTCTGTATACTTCGAGTGAAGTGGTTTTCCTAGAGCAAAGGCTGGCAAACTACTGCCCGCGGGCCAAATTCTGCATGCCGCCTGTTTTATAGTCTGTGAGCTAATAATAGTTTTCGTGTCGTTAAAAGGTTACAAAAAATCAAAAGAAGAATAATATCTTATGAGATATGAAAATTATGTAAAATTTCAATTTCAGTGTCCATAAATAAAGCTTTATGGTAACATGGCCATGCTCCTTCACTGATATATGGCTGCTTTTATGCTACAATGGCAGAGTTAAGTAGTTGTGATAGAGACCAAGTGACTGCCAAAGTCAGAAATATTTCCTCTCTGGCTCTTCACAGAAAAAGTTTGTTGACCCCTGTCCTAGACTATCAACGTCTGATTCTATTCCCATGATTGCAGCTCAGCACAAGACCCAGGATTAAACCTCTGGACCTTTGTTTGAGCGGTTGAGGAAGCTGGCTACTCCCTCTGCTGCCTCAGGTGAGAACATGAGAATGTCGGGAACCAACAGGCAGCCCCAAGGATGACATCCTAATCAAGTTTATTTGAAGCTATTCTAGCTCTGGAATTTCTGGCAATGAGAATCAATACATCCTTTTAAATCCTAAATTAGCTAGAATTGGTTTTTGTTGCTTGCAGCCAGAGAAACTTCACTGATACAGCCATTTGGAAGAAATCCTACTCCAGGTGTGGAGGAAACAGGATTAATTAGTTCCCAGGATCTTGGCTTTATGATGGAAACAGCAGCTGCCTGGCAGGAGACAGGAAATCTGTCTTAATAGCACCCTCTATGACCTGAATTTGTCCGGTTTGGGGAGAAATTCTAGAAGCTCAGGAGATGCAATTAGTGTCTAGGACTAACTTTATAACACATGTCTATGTCTTCTTTAGGTATAACTATTAGAGGACTTCAGGACTTATGATTTTATATC